CCAGATCCATGGCTTAAAAAACATCTATATATCTGCTTTATGCATTCAAACAGATAATCTCCCCAATGTGTCTCCTGAGTTCTAGACTTGTATTTTCAACTGCTCACCTGACATCTCCACTTAGATGTGAATCTTCAAGTTTAAAATGTCCAAGATAGAAACTTCTCATCCCCTCCACCGGACCCATGTCTATCCTAGTGTTCCCCAGCTCAATAAGGGGTACCTCCTGTTATTAAGGCAGAAATACAGGAGGTATCAGTGATTTCTCATTCCATATCCCATCCGTCTGCAGGCTGTGTGTACTCTATCTCCAGAAAACCCAGATCTGTCCATCTCTGCTGTCCACTGCTACCCCCTTCATCAAGCCACCATGATTTCTCTCTGGGCTACAGCAAAAGCCTTCTCACTTACTTCCCCATTTCTCCTCTGTCCCCCAGGCAACCCATTCTCCACAGGCCTGCCAAAGTGATCTGTGTAAAACACAAGACAGATAAAATTAATCCTCAGGTTAAAACCTTCCACAGGCTCCCAATGTGCTTCAGAACAAAATCAACATTGCAAAAGCGATGGACCAGCATAAGACTCTGAGTTCATCTACTACTGGCTTTGTCCTCTGTTCCTCTGCTCTCTAGATACACTGGTTTTCTCTCAGTTTTTAGAACAGACCATGCTTGTGTCCACCTCAGGGCCTTTGTTCATTCTGGAACACTTGCTCTCAGTCTTCTCATCATTCAGATCTTAGTTCAAATGTCAACCCCCATCTAAGCCCTCCCTGCTGCCAGTCACTCACAATCACATTTTGTTCTAACAGCTCCAATATCAGAAGTAGTCATGCATATTTACTGTCTGTCTTCCCCATTGGAATGTAAGTTTCATGAGAGCTGGATCTTGTTTGACCTGCTTAGCACTCTATCTTTCACTCCTAGGACAACACTAAGTTCATAGTGGGAGCTCAATAAATATTTGCTCAATGAATGAAAAAATGCTCCGTATGAGGTTCCCAGTCTTCTTCAAGGACTGTGACAAGCAACAGGAAGAGTTACCTAAGAGTGCAGGGCAGGGGATGGTAACTCCAAGAAGTGATTCACAGCTCATCTGATAAACTGATATTTGTTTTATTGTTACTGGAGCCACCTGGTAATGGGAGGCTCTAACTGGGATTCGGAAGACAAAGGCCTAATCCACAGGAGTGGTTCTGAAGGGAACAATCCAAGGGCCAAAATGAGGAGCTATTTGAATTTTGGTGGGTGTCTTAGTCTATCATAAGCTATAACAGAATACCCGAGACTGGAAAATTGATAAAGAACAGAGATTTCTTTCTTATAGTCCCAGAGGGTGGGAAGTCCAAGGTCAAGGGGCCCCCATCTGATGAGAGCCTTCTTGCTGCGTCATCCCATTGCAGAAGGTGGAAGAATAAGAGAATATGCAAGAGGGCGTTGACTCACCTTTAAAACAAACCCACTCTCTCGATAACCCACACCCACAATAATGACATTAATCCGCCAATGAGGGCAGCACTCTCATGACCAAATCAGCTCTTAAAAGCCCTGCCTCTCAACACTGTTGCATTGAGTATTAAGCATCCAACACATGAATGTAGGGGAACACAGTCAAACAATAGCAGCAGGTCCTTGCGGTGCCTTCAAAAATTGCCACGCTACAGAATTCTATGCAATCATAAAAAAGAATAAAATCATGTCCTTTGCAGGAACATGGATGGAGCTGGAGGCCATCATCCTAAGTGAAATAACTCAGAGACAGAAAACCTTGTACTGCATGGTCTCACTTATAAGGGGGAGCTAAGCAGTGGGTACATATGGACATGAAGATGGAAAGAAGACACTGGGGGCTCCAAAAAGACAGACAATGGGGTGGGGGAAGGGTTGAAAAACTATCTATTGGGTACAATGTTCACTATTTCGGTGATAGTTCAGGAGAAGCCTAAACCCCAGATTTACACAATTTTTTTTTTCTGAGTTGGAGTCTCACTCCGTTGCCCAGGCTGGAGTGCAGTAACACGCTCATGGCCACCCCAGCGTCCACCTGCTGGGCTCTAGCAATCCTTCCGTCTCAGCCTTCCAAGGAGCTAGAACTACAGGCATGCACTACCATGCCTGGCTAATTTATTTATTGTAGAGATGAGGTCTTGCCAAGTTGCCCAGGCTGTTCTCGAACCTGTGGGCTCAGGCAATCCCCGCACCTCGGCCTCCCAAAGTGCTGGGATTACAGGTTTGAGCCACCGTGTCCAGCTATGCACAATTTAACTATGCAACAAACCTGCACATGTACCTCCCGAATGTAAAAAAAAAAAAAAAATCTGCCATGTGAGTAACTGAGGACTCCACTGTCACCAAATGTATACATATCTCCCCATTCATACCTGCCTCCCATATATACATATGTTCCCTCTTGCAGAGTTTACACAAAGGTCTTAGGAAATGACCAACTGACTGTCTCTCAGAAATTCCACGGAAATTTGCAAAAAATAAAACATCTATCAAAAACTCTGACACTTCACCATAAATCCTAACAAATTATATGGTACGCATATGTACACAATGGAACGTTATTCAGTCATCAAAACGATAATTATGAAGTTTAGGTAGCAACTAGACAATATCTGTAAATATAATTTTAGGCTAAACCTTGGGCACAGATATGGTGTAAATTACAAGCACAACTATGTAAACATTATCTAAAGAGAAAAAAGACTGAACACGAACACAACCACGTGCTGCATAACAATATTTTGGTCAGTAATGGACTGCTTATGTGTCGGTGGTCCCATAAGATTACAGTACTATGTTTTACTGCACCTTTGTATGTTTAGAAATGTTTAGACACACGAATACTTACCATTGTGTTACAGTTGCCTAGGGTACTCAGTACAGTCACATGCCGTGCTGGTTTGCCAACCAGGAGCAATAGGCTACACCGTATAGCCTAGGCGTGTAGTAGGCTGCACCTTCTAGGTTTGTGTAAGGACGCCCTATGATGAAATCGCCTAATGAGGCATTTCTCAGAACATGTCCTTGTTGTTTAAGTGACGCCCACCTGCAGTTATTATATTAGGTTAATGGGATTGTGGTACATTTCTCCTTTATGTTTTCCAAACATTTTTAGAAATCACTTTTATGTATACCAAAATAAAAATATTAAAATTAAATACAATGTCTATTGTGGTTGTCTGTGTCCCAGCCACGTGGTCTTTCTGCCGTCCCCTCAAGCAGCTGGAAAAAGACAAGGGGCTGAGGGCACAGCCTCCCGCACCTGACAGGCATGGAGATGACAGTTCAGAGGGAAGAAATAATAGTAAAGTCATAACCACAATAATGACAAGGATCCACATTGCTCCTACTTCATATGCTGTGGGCATTGAGCTAAGACTGTGATTTACTCCCTACATCATTCTTTGCCCACCGATGAAGAAACTGAGGTTCGAGGAGGTTAAAGAATGTGTCTAAGGTAACAGGGTAGACGAACGACAGAGCCCGGTCTGATTCCAGAGCTCATCTCTTAACCACTTGAATGAGGCCGACACTTTCACAAATATTAAACCATTATGTTTTAATTGCTCCCATAAACTTCCAGCTGCCACCTTGAAGTGTGAGTCAGGAGGCTTTGGATGCCAGGGCAGGTGAGGGCAGGCCATCGACCTCTTTAGCAAGGCCACAGGGTGTGCCTTCCTGTCTCTCCCTTCAGCATATCAAGAGCGGGCCTGGCCGATGAGACACAGAGACTTCTGGAAAGGAGGTAGAGTTAGGAGGAGGAAGGGGAGAAGAGCCTGCTCACCTGAGTCCAGGAAATTGAAGAAGTGTTTAAGGTTAGGGTGGGGTGGTATGGGTCAGAGCTGAGGGAAACACTGGGACAGGGCTCTTGACCATTCTTCACATGTGCTTCTGGAAAGAGTTGTGGCAGAGGCCCAAGCCTCCGTGGGGATGTCAGTCAGCTTACACGGTGGAGTGCTGTTCCCGTGAGGACTGGGTCACCCCCGAAGCGGCCCTCAGTTGCCTGTGTGGTAGATGCAGGGTTGAGGTATTCAGGTGTGAAGCGGGACCTTCTGGGTCCAGACAAGATGACCCCATGGCTGAGGCTCAGGATGGATCCATCAAGCCAGACAGAGGGAGGCAGAGACCAGAGGGGTGCTGAGCATTGAAGGGACCTTGGCCAGTGCTCCTCGTGGGCGAGGCCTAACCTGGCAGGAGGAAACGAGGCTCACCCCCTGCACAGCTTAGCGGGCACTGCCATCGCTGAGACTGCAGCAGCCAGAAGGGCACAAGAACACCACCACCTCCCCAAATCGCTGGGTGCCTCCAGGAAGCTCACTCGTCCACCTGGAGGAGAAGCTGGGGGAGACAGATCCAGATTACCCGATGATTACCTAAAGAGTCTGTTGGATTTTGGTAGCCCAGAAAATTTACCAGGTGGGACTTCCTTATTAAAGGTTTTCTCGTCACTAACCAACAGGTGGCGTTCATCAGGTAAGCTAGGTAAGGAGTGAGGTGTCTATGATTACATTCACGACCCTGCTGTGCTGCTACACCAGATGGCAGAGCTTAAGCAGCTGTTATGTGCCAGGCACTCTGCTCGGCCTTCACATGCATCAGTTTGTTCACCCTTCTCAGTACCATATTAGCAGAAATATCTTTTATCTCAGGCTGCCCCACAAGATTAGCTGTGTGACCTTGGGAAAGTTCCTTAGCCTCTCTGAGCTTCAGTTTTTTTCATCAAATGCAGATAGGAATCCCCTCGCCAGGCACATAGAATGCGCTCAATAGAAGGTCACCACTGTTGTTAAAAGCTCCTGAGCACAGAGGGAGATAAGGACAGGTAGGTGATGGGGGTGGGGTGAAGGGACTCCTCCAGGAATGAAAAAAATTAACAAAAATGTAACATCTTATCTCTGTAGCAATACAGATAGGTGATCCTTATTCAGAATCAGGAAAGTAGGGGTAAGATTTAAGGGGCCAGGAGCCCTCTCCCCAGGAACACAGACATACCTGAGAGCCCCATGGCGTCATGGGATGTAAAGGTGGGAGACTGGAAGTTTCCAGGTCCTGTGTCTGCTCAAGCTCACTGGCATTTCTTCCTGACCTGCTGCCTTCCTCATCCCCTTGTGGGCTCTGTGGGACAGACACCTTAGTGCCCAGGCCAGGACAGACTTCCGAGGTCTGGAGGTCCATTCCAGTCGCCTCTCTGGGGCTCAGGACCCGCTGTGTGGAGCTGAGGCTGGTCCTTAGCAGCGAGGCGTTGTTGGGGCATCCTCCGGAAATTTCAAGGGAGTTTTGTAAGAACGTGAAAGCAACGCCATCAGATTCGTCCTGAAGATAAGCCAGGTGAATGATTAAGAAGCTGAAGGAAGCCAGGGCTTAGCAAGAGGAGGTCCATGTCTATCTCTGGGAAGATTTCAAACAATCTGGGTTTGCTTCGGTAGAGAGAAAAGTGTTACGCTGCATGAAAGGTAAGCAGGGAGCTAGGATTACGCTCACATAGGGCAGCTCTTGGGCAAGGGAGGCCTGCATTTCAGGGCTGGGATCCAGGCTCAGGCATGGCTCCTCACTGCTCAGAAGCTATTTTTAAAAGTGTGAAACTCAATACGTCAGTGGGAGAGGGAGAGAGGGCTGGTGGAAGGCAGAGGAGGCCAACCAGGCTCCTGAAGGAGACTCACTTTCCTGGGAAGGTGAAGCCACTCTTGGCTCGTGCCTGACCCTCTATTTTGAGCCCTGAAATAAACACCTGGCTTTGTGTTCAGAACTGATGGCGGGGACCATGGGTCAGAACAGAATTTAATCATTTACTCTGCCTGTCATTTCAGCTGTTTCTTTGGTTTAATAGATGTCGTGTCTGGCAGCTTAAAGAGGATGCATCACAGTTCTGTGCCAAAGCAAAAATAAAAACAAAATAAAATAAAAACAAAAAAACTCTCCTCTTTGTGTTCTGTTTACAAGTGTTTTTGAATGTACATTCAAAACGTGCATCTTTCTGTGTCTTCATGTGCTGGTTCTAAATTACCCAGCATCCTCTCTGTTTGGGAACACCCCATTACCCACCTCTCTTTTCGGAGGCGGTGGTTTTCCAGTGGACTGTCTCTGGCCTAAACGGCCCTATCAGAAACCAAGCAACAGCCAGACCCCACTCAGTCTGACCAGAGTCCTGTGTTTGCATAGGGGTCTGTGTAAAGTGTCATTTTTCTGTTTGCACTATTTGGGAAAAATAATAGCTTGCATGACCATGCTAATAAATGTCTACTGTAATCGTAAAAAAATTAAAAAGTTTGCCGCGTGAAATTTGGGCTGTTGTGGGTTTTATTTTGCATTGGTTATTCACAAAGTAATAAAGTAATGCTGGCTGGGTTCGGTGACTCAGCCTGTAATCCCAGCGCTTTGGGAGGCCGAGGTGAGTGGATCGCCTGAGCCCGTGGGTTTGAGACCCGCCTGGGCAACTTGGTGAGACCTCATCTCTACAATAAATAAAAAAATTAGCCGGGTGGTAGCATGCGCCTGTAGTTCCAGCTACTTGGAAGGCTGAGGTGGAAGGATCACCTGAGCCCAGCAGGTCGAGGCTGCGGTGGCCAGGAGCGGCCACTGGACTCCAGTCTGGGTGGCAGAGTGAGACTCCAACTCAAAAAAAATAATAATAAAGTAATGCTTACTGCAAATTGGATAAAGGACCGGGTTTTTTTTTTTCAAAAAGCATTAGTTTAAAAAAAAAAAAAGGTGTTTTCCTTGGTATGGTTAAAACAGCAAAATGTTTTGTTAGATTAAAATAGTTGTTTAGAAACTGCATAATATTCCATTGTATATGTGTACCACATTAAAAAAGAAGCTAGTTGTGGTGGCTCACACCTATAATCCCAACACTGGGAGACTGAGGCGAGAGGATTGCTTGTGCCCAAGAGTTTCAGACCAACCTAGGCAACATAGCAAAATCTCATCTCTCAAAAAATTAGCTGGGTGTGGTGGTGTCCACCTGTAGCCTTAGCTACTTGGGAGCCTGAGGCAGAAGTATCACCTGAGCCCAGGAGGTCGAGACAAGAGTGAGCCAGGATCATGCCACTGCACTTCAGCCTGGGTGACAGAATGAGATTCTGACTCAAAAAATGAAACAAAACAAAACAAAAAGCAGTGGTTTAGAATGTGGGAAATCCCATAGTTAGAAAAAAAAAAGCACCCCCACTTTCCAGGAACAGGCTCTTTAAGAAAGGGTGTTCTTCAACAAGAAAGCCTCTGCTGAGAAGCAGAGGGAGGAGATCACAAAGAGAAGGGTGTCCCATTCACATACACATTCAGATTTCCAGAATTGGCTCTTGGCATATTTAATTTGTTGTGTAGAGTAATAGTGTGTCTCTAGGTTTTGGAGGCTGAAGACTTACTTAACGAACATTCTATCCACCTGGAGGCCTTCAATTTCAGGGAAGTGAATAGAAAAAAAAATGAACAAATATAAAAAACACACCATAATGTATGTTGTTTAAATAATGATTATGATCCCATGTGGTGAGGCAGACTCTCTCTATCCAGATATACATGTGTAGCAGGAGAGGTGAATTTGATAGCGTATAGTTGGGGACAGTTAGTGGAAAAAATGAAATTGCTTCATGTTTACCCCCAGAATGAGATGAGACTCTGCAATAAACTAGTTCGGTTTGTAGAGTGCCTAGAGACCGTGCTTGGCAAGCCCCCGGGGACGGTCGTTGCTGCTGTTGTCACCAGGTACAGGCAGAATCTGCCTAAGGCACTTAGGTTTCAGGGAACAAAAGTCCACTTAATTTTGCTCCAAGAAAGAGGGGTGGGGCTTTATCAAGAGAAGATGACTTATCTTCAGCCATGGATCCAGACAGATCTCCTTACAGGTCCATGGAAAAAGTACTGGGTGACATCGGGAAAGACACAAGGCTGGGCTCAATACTTCTTCTTGACTCAAAAGTGGATAGTGCCTACCCAGCAAGGGGACAGCGGGGGTGCCGTGGGGAGGGTGGGTTCCTGCAGGTCTTGAGCATATTGTTGGCAAACTACCCAAATTTTCTGAGCTGTCTGTTAGTGCTTTTTCTGCCCAACCCCCATTACAGGAAGTATAGCTTCAATAACCTAGCTGAATCCCAGAACTGATTCCTAGGAATATTATAGATAGGTTATAGTTATGTTTGCAATTCCTAAAATGATCTCAGTATCACAATGATCATTTTTGCAAAAAGAAGATATACTGTCTTTTTCGTATCCCCCGAAGGTGGGCATTTTCCTAACTTTCCTTCAAGAGCCAGCTATAACGGTGGTGGCACTTGGTGCCTCTCTGCCTTCTCCTCCCCAACTTTTAGGGATTCTTCATCACAGAGTAGGAGAGGGCTTGGCCGAGTTAGAATTTCCCTCATTCTCGGGGCAGAATATTGAAATGGGGAGAACAAGGTAGCTCAGGGCCTCATGTGACCGGAGTATGGTGTGGAACGCCTCTGGTCCCACCACCCTGGCAGGCCTTGGGGAATGTGCCCGTGAGGCTGGTCCAGGTGGGTCTGAGGCAGGAAGATGGCAGCCAACCAAAGCCATGGCCGCCGGGGGCCATGGAACCTGCGGGTGTGCACCCCGTACAGCCCTCCCAGTTTCATTCCCAGAGAGGGGTTGGAGGGGCAAGCCGGGAAGCAGGTGCTGGTGGGGGGCCATGGTCAGGCTACCCAGATCGTCTGGCAGTGGGCAAAGAGGAGAACTTCAGAATAGCTGGAGCATCTGTGTTTCATCATCAGTGCTGTGAGACAAGGGCAGGGCAGCATGGGATGACAGGCTTGTCAACAGTGACACCATGTGGCACTAGGAGCAAAAACCGACAGTCTGCTGGAAACCTTGCTGGCGGGAGTGTGTCCAGTTTCCTCTCCTCGGGACTTTAATGGGCATCTCTGGAGGGTTTGTGGTTGTGACTGATGGGAGAAATCCAGGAAGGAAAGAAATAGTTCTAAGTTTGGCGGTTGAAGGCTTGAAGTCAATTAGATTCATAACTAGAAAGAATATCATCTCAACTTGAACTGCCAACTGGGAAGTGATTATGCGTCGTTACCTTGGGGTCTAGTCATCACCCCTGGCATAGACAAAGATAATGTAAAACACCCATGTCGTAGCGTGGAATCTTCCCATCATTGGAAGGGCACTCACCCCTTCCCAAATGATGTGTACACTTTCTGCACCCCCCTCCCTCCAGCGGTGCCTAGCTCTGTCAGTGGCCCTGCCATCCGCCCAGCAGATTAGTCAAGACTCTTTCGGTCGTAGGTAGAAGCCAAACTTAATGAACTAAACCATAAAAAGCAATTTATTGCCTCACTTAGCTTGGAAAGGTGACAAATTAACGCACAGAATGGAAAGAAATGAAGATACTGAGAAGTTGAGGCAGGACAGAATCTGGGATTCCAAGCAGCCTGGACTCTTTGTCCTGCTCTTTCCTCCTCTGCCCCCCTCTACCCAGTGGCCTGATTCCCTCTTCTGTAGACAGACCCTTTCCGCCTGTGGGGAATGCGGTCATCGGCAGCCCAAGCTTAGTGACCCCAACATCGAGGGAGATTTTTCAACAGGCATCTTTATGACAAAGCAGGGCTCTGATCAGCTTGTTTGAGCGAGGTGCCAAGGTGGTGACATACTGAGATAGGCCAGTCCTGGTCACGCCCTCTCCCCTGAGGCCCCTGGGCAGGAGTTGTCAACAGAGAAGAGTGATGAGGACACTTGCTTGGCAGGCACAAATCAAAGGTTGCTACGTTCCGCGATGCAGATGGTGGCGCCCCCGGATCTTTGCAGCGAACTCTTAATTGAAGCTTGACACACACACACAGAAAAGTACATGGCTCTCAAGTGTGCAGCTTGCTGAATTTGCACTGCATACACCTCTGTAACTAGCACCCTGGTCCAGAAACAGAACATCATCTGCATCCTAGAAACACTCTTTGTGCTTCCTCCAACCATGGTTCTCCTGGCTCCCAAAGGTAAACACTGTCCTGATTGCTGCTACCACAACTAGTCTGATCAGTTTTGAAACTTTACATAAGTGCGGTCATTCAGTATCAGGTCTCCATGTCTGGCTTCTCACATTCCACATTATGTTTATGAGATCCATCCATACAGTATGTAATACAGAGTGTTTATTTTCATAGCTGCATAGTATTCCATTGCGCAAACAGGCCAACATTTATCCAACCACTTCGTTGTTGATGGATATCCTAGCC